AACCCAGAACATGCCAGGGGCTATGGGTCCCCCGACTTAGACACTTCAAAACATCAAAACCATGAGCCAAAACCACAAGATGGGCTCTGTCCTGTATTTGGGGAGAAATTTAAATATGGCTATATCCCATATATTATTATTGGCTTGGTGTCAACAATGATATTCTAGTCACTTTGGAGAAGGTCTGTTTTTAGGAGATGTGCAGTGAGTTTAGGATGAAGGATGGTGAAGTCTACAGCTTTATTCAAATGGCCCCACAACTACCAGCCATATGTGTGCATGTCTGCGCATCTGTGTGTGCATAGGTGGTATGAATGTGTGTGCATCTGTGCCATGTGCATACACACGTGTGGGTGTGTGTGAATGCATGGATGTGCACACCTGTGTACAAAGAGAGAGTGTGACAGAGCCAAAGACCAGCGACTCCGGGCTCACAGGTGAAAGCTACACCATCTGTGCATTGTTTGGTGTAGTCAACACAAAGGTTTAAATTTTTTCCCCCCAAATTTAGAAACCTTAAGTTTTCCTTTTAGGGAAATGAAATACAAAATCTTTTCTCAAACAAGCAAATAAAAATACTAATTAGCGTATTTTGCTTCCATTGGACTAACGATGGAATGGGCAGCTCGAGAGCCCTTTTTGCCTTTTGGCCTCTAATCCCACCAAATAGAGCCCTGCTTTCAGAATGGGAGGCCAACAGCCTAGGCTGATTTCCTTAATATCTCTTGTCATTAGGGTTCAAAATTGCTAGTAGTTTTAAATAAAATTTGCATTTGATATCATAAGCATTGAATGATATGTTTTTCATTATAGGAGCTGCTATTTATATCTTCTCTCTTGAAAGGGACATATTGGATATGAACTCCAAGTCTGGCTCAGTGGGTTCAGCGGCAGGAACGGTGACAGTAGCCACACAGCAGCCTTGGAGTGGCCGCTCACCTGAGGCCTCACAGTGGGCACCGCCCTGGTGGCCGCGGGACGGAGGCATCTCCAGGCCTGTTTACAGACACAAAACCGAGGCTGGCAGTGAGGAATCTCGCAGGTGCTTAGGACCAAAAGGCTCATTTGCGAATCATCCTGCGAGATCAGTCTTAAGTCTCCGTTCACAGGTGTGGTCGGACAGTCCTCGCCTTGGGGGCTGCACAATAGTGGTGACACCTCCTGGGATGTACTGTGCTCCCACGGCGAGCTCTCGCTCTCTGTCCATGGTCCTGTTTGGTGAGGACTCCTGGGCTCAGACACCAGTCCCCAGGGTTACTCCGTTAGGCAGGGCAATGACCTGCTAACTCAGGGCTCACTGGAGTAGAAGATGATAGACAGGAAGCCCTGCTCGTCATGCTCATTGATCCAATTACTACAGAATAGAAGAGCCTCCTTCCTTGACCTCAGTGTGGTGAACTGTGATTATGTGATGAAAATGCACAGAATGGGAAGGTGGGGCACATCCAATAAAGGGCTCATTTCACTGCTGCCTTCCTGTTCTGCAGTGCGTGGAACTCGGGGTCTCTAATGTTGGAGGCTTAAGCAGGGCTGCTGTTGGGCTTAAGTTGTGACTTCCTTTGACACGTGATGGAGGCTTGGATGCGGAGTTTTTGCTCAGGCTCCAGGTAGAAGGAAGCTTAACTCAGGCTCTGGGGCCTCTCTCCACCCCTAGCATGGGAGAATGCATCAGGATCATGTAACCATGTGGTGCCGTTGACTGAATACCAAGAACAGGCCCAAAGTGAGGGCTTCTGGCTGGATTTAAAAGGTCCAGAGGGGCTGATGGAATCCTTCATCCAAGGCACTTAAACGTATTATTTGCAGGGTAAGAACAATATCAGGACACTTGGAAAGTTTTGTCAGTTTTGATTCTCTTTCTAAAATGCAAATTTAAATTTCCACCTGGGAAAACTATTCAATACTCAATTGATTTTCGAAACAGGGATTGGAGCACTCCAGGATGCTCTGTGCTCACAGAACTGGAGGCGCGGAGGCTCTCCCAGACCAGGCAGTGATCAGGTGTAAACCCGGGTCCCTCGTGCACCTCTGAGGCCGGACTCCAGCACTGACAGCTGTCAGGATGATTGGCATGGCGCTGAGAATGCCGCCGTTGCTTGGAATTTTAATGCTAAATCGATGCCTTGTTAATGGAACTTTTTGCGTGGAAGTTACATGACTGTATTTTGCTTCGTGTTATTAAGTAACAATTAAACTAGGAGTCGAAAGGCGCCTGTCAGAGTGACCCCGGTGAAAGGCGCCTGTCAGAGTGACCCCGGTGAAAGGCGCCTCTGACCTTGGTGAAAGGCGCCTGTCAGAGTGACCCTGGTGAAAGGCGCCTGTCAGAGTGACCCCGGTGAAAGGCGCCTCTGACCTTGGTGAAAGGCGCCTGTCAGAGTGACCCTGGTGAAAGGCACCTCTGACCTTGGTGAAAGGCGCCTGTCAGAGTGACCCCGGTGAAAGGCGCCTGTCAGAGTGACCCCGGTGAAAGGCGCCTGTCAGAGTGACCCTGGTGAAAGGCGCCTGTCAGAGTGACCCTGGTGAAAGGCGCCTGTCAGAGTGACCCTGGTGAAAGGCGCCTGTCAGAGTGACCCTGGTGAAAGACGCCTCTGACCTTGGTGAAAGGCGCCTGTCAGAGTGACGCTGGTGAAAGGCGCCTCTTTCATCAATGTGATCCTCATGGGAAAAAATGACCCTCAAAACAGAAATCCCGGGGACGCCGACGGAGAGTTCTCACAGAAGTGTTTTCCTGCTTTTGATGGACATGAGCAAAATTTAAATCTTTACTTTTTTCACTGAACTGTTTTTTTAAATTTAAGTGAATTATTTACACTGTAATGATATGGTTATTTTTAAAGCTGAAATTTGGTTGCAGCTTTACACCAACCCACCTCAGCCTGCAGGGGCCGGAGTGAGGGCTCTGGCCGGACGACCATCCCCAAGCTGGGCCTTCCCAGCCCGTGGCTGCCACCTCCACCGTCCTGCAGTGATGTCCAGAGTCTCCACGTAGAAATCCCCACAGAGCGATTCTGATCCACGTTGGAGGTTAGAACAACTGTCCGTGGAAGACAGAAATGCCTACATGATGGAGAGGTCCCATGCACACACATATACACGCAAACACATGCACACACGTACACACAGGCACACACTCATAGACACACACACATGCAAACACCCTTGCACATACACGCACACAGCCCTCAATTTACAAATATTTTAGAAAAAATTCCATTTCACATGTGATCCAAAGTATGCCACGAGGACTGGAGGCTGTGGCGGCTCATTCGGCTTCCTGAGCATCCCGGCCTCCTGGCTGCCGGGGCCAGTGGGTTCTGCAGGAACAAACCTCACCCCCCTCCCAGGGTGTCCACCCCACCCCTCACCCAGGCTTAGGATCCTGTTGAGCCGTCTCAGATTGATCAGGAAACATGGGGTCTTCTTGCTCTTTACATTTGTTTTCTGTTTTTATTGTGAAGTTGGGAAGCTGAGCATTTTACCATTTGTCAGACCCTTCTCACCGCTCGCCGACTCACAGGCTCAGAGAACTTTCAGCTGCGTCCACGCGTCCTCCTCACTCACGGCGCTGCCTCTGTGTTTTAATAGTAACCCGAATTTACACGCGTCCTCCTCACTCACGGCGCTGCAGATAACCGAGGTGCCCTTGACTCTGACTTCGTGAATGGCGTTTGATATTGGTGTCTGGGGATGTCCTCACATCCTGATATTATAACGCTTTGTGCCAAGTATTTTCAACGTTGATAGAGATTTTTAAAAGGGGATCCTTGAGGAGTCTGTCTTGTTCTGGGAAACCGACGCCCAGGCTGCCTCCCGAGTCCGTGCGTGGCCTTCCCGCCTACCCCACCCTCTGTGCCCCAAGCCAGGGCTGCAGGAAGGGGAGGGAGCGGCCGGAACCACCGTGGCCCCCACACCCCCCCCCCGGCGCACGCTCCTCTGACTGCGACTCCGGGGGTCTCACCCTTGCGGTTCTCGTCCTGTGCGTCCTCAGCGTGTGTTTTACGGTGAAACTCTGTGACCTGGAGATTAGGCATAAAGCTCACGCGTTGTTTTCCAAACACAAGCCTCACAGAAACGCCCTGGTCAGGGCGCTGGGCTGGTGCTGAGACATTTAGAGTGGCCTGGTACCAGGGAAGGCCTCGGGACCGGAGCCTCGTACCAGGGAAGGCCTCGGGACCGGAGCCTCGTACCAGGGAAGGCCTCGGAACCGGAGCCTCGTACCAGGGAAGGCCTCGGGACTGGAGCCTCTGCGGGGAAGGCCCTGGGACCGGAGCCTCTGCGGGGAGTGGGGCAGCCGGGCAGCCAGACAGCATCTCCCTCTCAGAAAGTGCACCCGCCTGGCCGGCTCGCAGGCCTCAGAACAGCGTGACCAGGAGGGAAACGGGGGCAGAGGCAGAGGCTTTGCTGAGCTGAGGCCTCACCTGGCTCCCGCCGGGGCCTAGACCTGTGAGACCCTGTGGTCAGGGCTGGAGGCCGTCCCCGGCCACTGCCACAGCCCCAGGACAGCTGGAGGGAGTTCCCATCTCCTGCCTCCTGATGGGGTGTGCCCTGGTCCCTCCTTCAAGCCGCTGCAACGAAACAGCACAGGTCCGGCGGCTTATCAAGGACGGAGACTCGCTTCTCAGCCCGGGGTCAGGGCGTGGCAAACCTGGTGTCAGGTGGACGTCCAGGCCACTGCCTGGTGGTTACCTCTCCCCGGTCTCTTCCACAAGGACACCCGTCCCGTCATGGGCTCCGCCCTGAGACCCCAACACCTCCGAAAGGCTCCACCTCCAAAACCATTGTCTGGGGGTTAAATTTCAACGTAGGGACCCGGGGGTCCGTGGCTGCGACACCGTCTCAGTCCGAGTCATCTGCGAGCCGCTTTGCCTGGGGAGCGGGTGGGCTGGGGACGGGAGATTGAAGAGAGGAGAGGGGCAGAGACCCCGGGGAGGGAGGGTCCTGCCTGCAGCCCGTTCTCCTTGGAGGGGCAGACCCCGGCCACTGAGCCCCCTCTCTTGCAGGGCTTTCTGGGAAACGCGAATGCGGACAGCGTGGTACAGCACAGGCTGCAGCCGCCCCTGGAGGCCCGGCACCTGCGCTTCCTGCCCGTGGCCTGGAACCCAGACAGCAGGATTGGGATGCGCGTGGAGGCCTACGGATGTGCCCACAGTGAGTGCTTGGCCCCGGGGCACGGGGCACAGGACCGGCCCCTGCGAGTCTGCTCAGCCCACAGCCTGCTGCCTGCGGCTCTCTCCGTCTCTCTGTTTCTCTCTCTGTGTCTCTGTCTTTCTCTTTCTCTGTCTCTCTCTCTTTCTCGCTCTCAGTTTCTTTGTCTCTCTGTCTCTCTCTCTCTTTGTCTCTCTCTGCATCCAGTTATGCCACAACCCCCTCATGGCCTGTCTGCCCGGGTGCTGAAGTCTAGGGGTGGCCTCTCTGACCGGGTGCTGAGGTCTGGGGGTGACCTCTCTGACCGGGTGCTGAGGTCCGGGGGTGGCCTCTCTGACCGGGTGCTGAGGCCCTGAGGGTGGCCTCTCTGGCCGGGTGCTGAGGTCCCAGGGGTGGCCTCTCTGACCGGGTGCTGAGGTCTGGGGGTGGCCTCTCTGACCGGGTGCTGAGGTCCCAGGGGTGGCCTATCTGGTGGGGCGCTGAGGTCCGGGGGTGGCCTGCCTGCGACCGGTGGCGGCTGTGCTATCGCTCACTCACCACATCCACGTCTGTCGGGAGCTGGTGATGGGAAGAGAATGTTCTGGGTTGATGTGGAAGATCAGTGCACAGTGTTTTCTTCACAAGGAAGGAGCGGAGCTGGGACTGTGCAAACCAGAGTGAGAAACGGCAGGGGGGGACCCAGTGGCTCAGTGGAGGGAGGAGAGGCTGCTTCTCAGGGCCCAAGGGGGGCTTGCAGCTGTGAAAAGCAACAGAACAGACTGTCCTGTCCCAGGAGAATCTGACGTGGGGGTGCCCGGAGCTGAGCCTCACTGGGACTGTTGGGACAGACGCCCCGAGAAGGGCCGGCAGTGCTGATGTTCCCGGCCCCCCGCAGCAGGCTCAGACGTCCTTCCTGGCCTGGCCACCGGCTCAGGGACATTGAGCCATTTTTTCCTCCTCTGACCACCTCCACACACCCCTGGACACCTCTGAGTCCACAAGGCGCTCCCTCCAGCTGAGACGCCCACATGCAGGGTCTCTTGGATCTGGGATCATGTGGCTGTGGCTTCCCCGCCCCGTCGGCACATCCGTGCTCCTTGTTCCCGGGCAGAGCGCCCGTTGGGGAGGAGGGACCTCGGGCCGCTCGCTCTCAGCCCGTGACTCCCTGGCTGCATGAGCAGACGGCACCCTCAGGGCCCAGGATCAGAAAACCCCTAAATTCAGCAACTGTGCTGCCGGCAACGTGGGAGTTGGCAAAAGGGAGTTCGGAAGACAGTGCACCAGCAGGACTCTGCAAGACGCCCCGGGACGGCTCCGGGAGGTAGAAATGCCAGGTCTTGCCACAGCTGGAGAGGAGACCAGCTCTTCCCACTTCACCCTCCAACCCCACTGCAGGACCCGTCCTCCGTGCGTTGTACTGAGCTGGGAGAATGCCTCGTGCTGCTCACTGCCCCCCAGGTTTCCATGCTCATCCTCGCCCCGGAAGATGTGGAGGAAACAGCTCCCCCAGCCTCAGTCCCGTCCAGCTCACCCAGCCTCGGTCCTGCGCACGCTGCTGTTTCCAGGCCCATCCTTAGCACTGGGATAAACCCAGCGGCATCTCGGGCCCTGGAGGCCCAGCGGGGAGGGGGACATCCCCTGGGTCTCACCTCTGTGGCTTCTCCTGAGGGCTCTGTGGGTCTCCCACGCCCCTTCCGCATCACACCCCAGGCTTCCTCGTACACGCTTTGGATTCCTGGTGTTGAAGAAGAGTGTATCCTGCACCTTGCTGGGAAGGCGAAGAGACGTCCTGCAGGACAATTATAACGGGAAACACCTTGCTGGGACGGCGAGCAGGTGTCCTGCAGGGCGATTA